TGAAGTTATCAATTGACAGAGAATAACTCTGATAATTTAGGCTTCGCTACAATAAACGTGTGACAACATCATTCAGCATTCAACGAAGTAAATACTTAGTGGTAAGGATATTGAAAGCAGCTACCTGCAAATAATTAATCAGCGATTTGTTTTGATTTTTGTCTTGACCTACGTACACTATCCAAAACACCGCACATTTAAAATATGCTGGACTACGTCTGCAAATTTTAATCACCCCTGTTTTACACGCTGTTAGCACACAAAAAAGGCATCATATAAAATCCAAACAAGGGTGAATTTCGTTGCCTTTTTAAGCAAAGTGGCAAATCTCATAACGGTTCTTTGTTCATGCCTTAATATTCGCATTAAAATATCTACCCTTAACAATTTACTAGTAAAATTATTCTAAACTTATACCAAGAGGGGTATTTTTGCAACCAATCGAGAGTCCATTGGTGGCATTAATTCCTATAATTACTTAAGAAACATGCTTGCTATTTTAGTGCGGAAAATTCGTTGTTGATGTAAAAACGAATCTGTCTTGCCTACACATTGCAATGTAGTGAGTAATTGCTCCTGTGTGTCTTTATATCCTTACGTTTGCCTAACTTCGTGATATTCACTACTGGTCATTCAAAAGACAGCCATCGCCTCAAGTCGATTCGTCAGGGCATTATTGTGGAACACTGTGGTGCAGAATTTGTGGCAGTTGGCTTCACTTTGGGCTTAAATGCCATTTCCTAATACTAGAGCTTCAAGATGTGAGAGTAGCACAAGGCACAGTAGCGAGTGCCTCACACTGAAGGGGCACTTAGACACGCTCTAGAAGTTCCTACCAGTTCCAACAGATGAGAAGCACAAGAACTTCCTCTGCTGCCCGGTCGATTACACAATTGTACTTCTCATTACATCGACGCAATGGAAATTAACTACAGTTCCTGTCGCTTTACAGATCCAGTGAATAACTGGCGCCGGCATATGGGCACGTGGGAATTTGCCCGCACAGCATCCTTGAACAAGACGGAGTCCATCTCCAATAATCGCGAAGACAACATTGAATGATTGTGGCAAATTTATTATTAGTGGTATTTACTGTGCTAACACTGAGAAATAATATCTTGTTCACATTCATCACAATCGCTAGGAAGTGATCTGCAAGTTGATCCAGACGAGGGAAAGCTGTTTGATTTGACCTGTGCCGTGTGCCAAGTACTCATTGGACAGACGGTCGCTGTCTATCCCCGCAAAGTCCACTAGCTGGTCAATAGGGTGGACAACACCGGTCTCCGGCCCCTTATAGTTCGATGCCACGTTAAGTGAAGCCGCGCCTACACCTGCGAAAATGATGAAAGCAAAATATTTTGACAAAGCCACCAGCACCATTTTCATTTTTATGCAGCCCCAATATATCACGGCAATTCTGTGGCTGCTGGAAGAAGTTGGTTTGGTGAAAGGTGACAAGGCCTACAATATACATTTAGCGTGCGACTGATTCTACAGGAAAGCAGTTCTTCGTGTTGGGGAAATGTAAGAACTTTCTTGAAACCAAATCCTACTCATTAATTTGGATTAAGCACTTACAAGACAGATGATAGGAATTACCAACAAATCCATGCAAAGCTTTTAGTGTTTAAATCTACTTGTCTGCAAAAACAGATTTTCTGTCAACAATGTCTTGGACAAATTTATGAAAATCATGACAACCAAACACAATATGGATTTCAAAACTGAATACCTTGACAAATAATGCCTTCCAGCAAATCAGAACAATAAAAGATTATGTTCACAGGTGCTTTAGCAGACAAATTTAAAGAAAAAACTGCAAAGACTGGAAAATGCCGCATATGATACTTAAGAATTCGCACTCGCAAAGGAGGATTTACAAACCTCTCGATAAAAGCATCAGCACGAAAAGAGGACAGAGCTACCTTTATGGCTGCCGTGGCAGCGAAACAGTCGTGCACTTC